TGGGTTCTTTTCCAGATTAATAGCTGACATGCTGTCTATCTTCATGGTAATTGCTCCATGATTTTTCCCTGTTATCTCTTCGACCAAGTTCACCATCCAAGTTGCTTGACATGCACAAAGAGAAGCAGCTATGTATTCTGCTTCGCATGATGATAATGCCATTACTGGTTCCTTTCTTGAATTCCAAGCAACTGGTGCACCACCTAGCATAAACACATATCCTGCTGTTGACTTTCGATCTTCAGCATCACTACACCAACACGAATCAGTGTATCCCACTAACTTGCATTCTTTTCCTTTATCAACTGCAGGAAATAAAATGTCATAATCGAAAGTTCCTTTGAGATACCTTAGTATCCTCTTCACTGCTGCTAGATGTGATACCTTTGGCTTCTGCATGAATCTACTTACCATACCTACACTATATGCTAAGTCAGACCTTGTATGAAAAAGTTATCTCAATGATCCAATAAGTCTTCTGTATTGGGTTGGATCAACATCATCTTCATCTGCATCTTTCGACAGTTGCAGTCTTGGTTCTGCATGTGTCGAAGTTGAGTTGCATTCTTCCATCTCAAACCTCTTGAGAATTTCTCCTGCATATCTTCTTTGATGCATCATCAAACCTCTACTGCTCTTGTAGAATTCGATACCAAGGAAATATGAAATCTCACCCAAATCAGACATTTCGAATTCCTTGCTGAGATCACCTTTGAAGTCTTCGATCTCACTTTTACAGCTACCTGTTATCAATAAATCATCTACATAGAGACATAGTATAAGAAATTTACTCTTGCTTCTTCTTACATATACTCCATGTTCAGTTGTGCACTTCACAAATTCCTTCTCCCTTAGAAAACTATCAATTTTCTTATTCCAAGCCCTTGGAGCTTGTTTCAATCCATACAGGGCTTTATGTAGCCTGTACACCTTTCTTTCTTCGTCATGTTTCACAAACCCAACTGGTTGTTTAACATAGACTTCTTCATCTAAGGGTCCATTTAGGAATGCACACTTCACGTCCGTCTGACATATGTGTCAACTGTTTATTTCTGCTAGACCAACAACCAACCTGATTGTTTCGATCCTAACAACAGGTGCAAAAACTTCATCGAAGTCTATTCCTTCTTTCTGTAGAAATCCTTTCGCCACAAGTCTTGCTTTGTGTCGAGTTACTTCACCTTTCGAATTAGTTTTTACTTTGTATACACACTTGACATCAATTGCCTTCTTGCCTTGAGGCAATTCGACAAGTGACCAAGTGTTGTTGTCTTTGATAGACTTTACTTCTTCGTTCATTGCTTTCACCCTCTTCGAATCCTTTAATGCTTCAGCTGCATTAACGGGTTTGACATCTGCATAGAAAGTATAATGTACCAGCTCACCTTCATTATTTATTACATCATCTGATGTAATCACACAATCTTGCAATCTTGCAGGCATGCGTCTTGTTCTTTGAGGCCTGCTTGTACTTGGTATATCTGTTGGTTCCTCTTGTCGAACTTCTCTTTCGAATTGAGTTTCTGGATCTTCAAGAAGGATTCCCACTGAATCTTTCTTTATATTTTCAGTCCAATCCCATTCTTTAAACTCATCTATGATCACGTCCCTGCTGATCACAATCTGCTTTTTCACTGGATCGAACAACTTGTAGCCTCCTGTCGAATGATATCCAACTAGAATCATTTGACTTGACTTATCATCAAGTTTTGTTCTCAACTAGTCTGGCACATGTCTATGTGCAATAGATCCAAATACCTTCAGATGACTCAAGCTAGGCTTCACACCAGACCAACATTCTTCAGGAGTAATTTCTTCTAGCTTCTTTGTAGGACATCTGTTCAAAATGTATGTTGTAGTTGAAACAGCTTCACCCCAAAAATCTTTAGGTAAATTCTTGCCTTTCAACATACTTCTCACCATATTCATGATGGTTCGATTTTTCCTTTCTGCAATTCCATTTTGTTGTGGAGTATAGGGTGGCACCACCTCGTGCACAATCCCTTCCTTTTCACATAATCTGTCGAAGTCTTTCGACACATATTCTCCACCACCATCAGTTCTCAAAACTTTGAGCTTTCGACCACTTTGTCTTTCGACCATAGACTTAAACTTGGTAAATACTTCGATCACTTCACTTTTCTTTTTGATCAGGTAAGTCCATAGCTTTCGACTGAAATCATCTATGAATGTAACAAAGTATTTGTTACCTCCCATCGAATCCACCTGGATTGGTCCACATACATCAGAGTATATGACTTCAAGACTAGCCTTCGATCTGCTTCCTGCATCCTCGCTGAAGCTATTCTTGTGTTGCTTCGCCTGCACACATTCCTCACATACCTCGTTTGGAATGTCAATTTCTGGCAATCCTGAAACCATATTTCTTCTCTTCAAATCTATGATGTCTCTGAAGTTGAGATGGCCTAGTCTATAATGCCATATCCATTCATCTCTGCTAGCTGCAGTCAAAAGGCACTTGTGCTCCATCACATTTAGTTCAATCTTGAAGGTTCGATTCTAAGACATAGGAGCCTTCAAGATTAATCTCCCATTTGCATCAACGACTCTCATCATCTTATCTTTGATTGACACTTTATAATTCTTTTCGACCAACTGCCCTATACTGAGCAAATTGCTCTTCAGGCCTGGTATGTACAATACATTGGAAATTACTGGCCTCTTGCCATCTTTCCTCATGATCATAACATCACCAATACCTTCAGCTGCTAGGGTATTGTCATTTGCAAATTTTACCATATTTTTCATTGAGGGTTTTATATTGACGAACCAGTCTTTCCTTCCAGACATATGTGATGAACATCCTGAATCCAAGTACCATTGGTCCTTGAATCTATCTTCATCTCTTGTTGTGACCATCCGCATCATCTCTTCTTCTTCTTCATGTTTTGCAAGCTTTGCATCACTTTCTTGATTCTTTCATTTTTCTGGACAATCACTCGAATAGTGACCATACTTCTGACAATTGTAACATTGAATGTGACTCTTATCAGGTTTTCGACCACCACCTCTTCCTCTATTTGCAACACCACCTCTTCGGTTGCCTTGGTATGGTCTTCTTTGATTCGACACGTTTCCTTCAATCTGGTTTCCTCTACCATTCGATTTGTTGTAGCCACCTCTACCTCTGTCGAAACACTTTCCTTTGCCTTTGGTCTCTTTTGCTGAATGTGCCTGCAAGGCCACATCACTCTTCGATTTGCCTGTAGCTCTTTCATTCATTCTCTGTTCATGAGATTCAAGCATCCCTTGAAGCTCTTCCTTTGTCAATTTCGACAAGTATTTCCCCTCTTCTATCGCCACCACTATATGGTCGAACTTAGGAGCTAAAGATCTCAAGATCTTCAACACAACAGCTCTTGTTGTTAACGCTTCTCCACATATCTTGATTTGATTTACTAGTTTTGTAACTCTAGTGAAGAAATCAGATATGCTTTCACTTTCTTCCATCTGAAGCAGTTCATAGGTCCTTTTGTGAGTTTGTAACCTCACTTCTTTCACTTTCTCAGCGCCTCCAAAATACTTCTCAAGGATTTCCCAAGCTTCTTTTGCAGATTCTGAATCACTAACCTTTTCGAAATTGTCTGGGCTGACACATTGATGAATTATAAATAATGCTTTATAACTCAGCTTCTCAGATTCTATGTATTTCTTCTTTTCTTCTTCTGAAGCGTTTTCTCCAAGCGCTTCGACTCCATCTTTTACAAGGTCCCAAAGACCTTGACACCTGAATAAGACTTTCATCTGTTTGCACCAATTCTCATAGTTGTCAACTTTCAGAATTGGTAGGGTTGTTGGATAATTTGCATTCTCATAACTTGTCACAGTGAATTCTTCAATCGGTCTTGATTGACACTTCCCTTGAATCGAACAAAGCTCTTGATACCAGATGTTGGAAATCCACCAAATTCTATGATGAATTTCTACCACAATGACAATTTAATTATGAGACAAACAAAGAAAAGAAGACAAAACAAATAATTTCTGCAGAGTTTGTCTCTGCTCACAAACTGTGAAAACTTTCTTATTCACTTTGCAACTGCAAAATACTGTGAATGACTTGCTTGACTTGCTTACAAAAATAGGGGTTACTCCCTCTATTTATAACTGAGCTTACACCTTAAGCCCAAAGTCCAAAATATCTTTTTGTTACTAAATCAAATCTAATTTATTCTAGACTTAAATCAAATCTATTTAAATCTAAAACAAATCAAATCTTTTCGACACATAGTTTCGACACATTGGATTACAATTTAACATTTTTCACCGATATGCAACAAAAGTGTCTGATTGAAGTAGATGCGCAGATTGCATGATTCGTCTAAGATATTATCAACATGTTGCAACGTTCAGAACTACCTGTTTATAACGATATGTAATGTTAATTTTTTGATTATCAATTATTTATGTAATGTTGAGTGTTTTAATTTAATGTCAATTTGTTATGATTATCAATAATAAATTTCCGATTATCTAATGATATACATACTATCTTTGTTTTTTGTTTTTCATTTGAAGTATCAGAGCTATTTTCAGATATACATCTCTGAAATATACCAGACATAATTTCAAAGATGTGTCTCCGAACTAAAATTAAGCATAATAAAAAATAAATGTGATCAAAGATACATCTTTAAATTTTAAAAACATTTTTGAATTTTTACCAAAGATTTTTGAGAGAACATAAAATGAAAAAGAAATTGCCAACCTTTAAACTCTTGAAAGTTTAAAGTATATGGGCCTGCCAGAAATGAAAGATGGCCCAACCCAAATATAATATTGTTTGTCAGCATGCAACTCTAACTCTAACTCTAACCACTATCACACAAACTCATGAAATCGTGTGGCAGAGAATTCAGATAGAACTCCATTCCCAAATCCTCCTTTTCTCTCTACTCCAATCACCAGACTCACTAGTGAACCACAAAACACACAAACTCACACAGAGGGAAGAAAAAACCTCCAAAATCACCACCGCAATGGCCACAATGATCATCGCTTCATCCAAACCAGTAATCCGAATTCCCACAAGCTCCCTCCCCACCACCCCCAAACTCCCCCTCCCAGCGATCACCCCTAACCTCAAACTCCATCTCTCCAAACTCAAATCCCTAACCCTAGCCGCAACCCCCCTCTCCCTCCCCTTCTTCTTGGCACCCCCCTCACTCGCCTTCGAAAAAGCCGCGCTGTTCGACTTCAACCTCACTCTCCCCATCATCGTCGTCGAGTTTCTCTTCCTCATGGTCGCCCTCGACAAACTCTACTTCACACCTCTCGGAAACTTCATGGACGAACGTGACGCCTCCATCCGAGGCAAACTGAACAGCGTGAAGGACACTTCCGAGGAAGTGAAGCAGCTGGAAGATCAGGCCAATGCTGTTTTGAGAGCGGCACGTGCTGAGATCGCAGTGGCGCTGAATCAGATGAAGCAAGAGACGCAGGCTGAAGTGGAAGAGAAGATTGCGGAAGGGAGGAAGAAAGTGGACGCGGAATTGCAAGAGGCGCTGGCCAATTTGGAAAAGCAGAAGGAAGAAACGGTTAAGGCTCTTGATTCTCAGATTTCTGCTCTTAGCCAGGATATTGTTAAGAAGGTTCTTCCCACTGCTTAATCACTTTATCAATCCACCTCAATGGATCCATTGTAATTTTAGTTCTTTTTGTGTTTTGTAATTTCAAATCTTGTAATTTTATATCATAAATTCACGTGTGGATTACTTGGACTTCAAATATTTTGGTCTTTTGCTAATTTGCTCCACATCAAGACTTGTTCCAAATCTTTAAAAAAGGGATTTGAGTTCTAGTTCGACCTAGTACTCATCATTCATATAGTATCCCGGGTTTACAACACTTGCATTCTCATCCCACACCAACCACTTCTTCTACTATAACTATTAGGGGGTTCAAATTCAAACCAATTTAAATAAAACATCGAAAATTGATTTAAACAATCGAAAATCGTAAATAATTGAAATTTATTGAATATGTTTAAATGTTATTTTATGAAAATCGCGGTTCAGATCAGATTTTAGATGAATTTTTCAAAATCAATTTAAACCAAACTGAATCACATACATATATTTTTATACTTGTTTACTTTTTATCATTATGATATATTAAGTGAATTTATTATTAGGTGATAATAATTTTTTTAATAATATTTATTAGTTTGGTATAATTTATTTATTTTTATTATTTCAACTATAATCAATCACTTTTATTGTAATATTAACTTTTAATATACTATATCTTATATATTATATAAAATCTATGATTTATTAGTAGTTTTATAATATTAATAAAAATATTATATAATTTAGATATCTAAAAACTGATCCAAATTAAATCGTATAAAATTAGATCGGATCGAATTTAATTTTTTTTAATTTATCATTCAAAATCAAACCGAACCGCAAATAAATTTATCTTTGAATCGGATGGATTTTTATTTTAAAACCGATACAAATCGAACTGTGAACACCTCTAATAAACATGTTTTAAAACCTTCCGGACAAGGTTAAGATTAGGATTTCACATAAGATATGGTGGAAATAGTAAAATCGTAGATAAGACTGAAAGATTGTATTCAATTATTGTATGGTGGAGAAAGTACCAAAATTCTAAAATATAACATTGCAACAAAAATTCAGGGTCAACTAAAGCCCAAGAAGGTGGATGGGGCTAGGACTTTACACCTCAAATTTATGTACCTTTGAAATAGGCCTAAAATGTTGAAAAACATACAATTTCTTAATGTATTCTATAATCTTTGTGAAATTTTAAGAATATTTTTAAATTTTAAAAATGTATTTTCGAAGGCATCTCACACATATAATTCATTTGTTTTGAGTCAATTTCTCTTTTATTTGTTTTATTTAATTATGTTTTAGATTAAAGGTCCATTAGGGTTTCTTTATTTTATATATTTAAATACCTTTTGGCAAAGTCATAAGATTATCTTTTATATAATAAAATTTGAACTTTTCTTTACTTTGGTGGATTCCAGTTTATTTTTTATAGGTTATGCACTTGCAACCCTGTTTTCCTTTTCTAGGTTTAACGCTTGCTATTTTCTAGGGCTCTCGACTGCGTCAGTATGTATCAGAGCAGGTTTCTCCTATTTTTTCCGACAACCATGGCGGATCAACCGGCAACCAAAATAGATTTTGAGAAAATTACTGTGACTTTTACCGCGACTCTAACTGCTTTGACCGAACATATGGCGAATTTAGCAAATAAGGTGAAGAACGCCAATAACAACGTAAATCAACGAAGAGACAGGAGAGGAGGACATGTTAAGGGTGAAAAACTTTCGGATAATCCAATTTCTATTCTACATCCACCATCCAGGATGCATCAAACAGAGACAATAAAATTATCAGGTCTACATAAGTCATCTCCTTTCATTGATTTTTTCTCAAGTAAAAGTTTCTAGTTTACACACCTTGCAGAAAAGTTTTATACCTTGCAAACCTGGGAGTAGCATTCCTAAACTAAAGAAATTGAAGACAATTCCTATTGAAGAGGGAAGGTCCAAATTTGTCAAAGGAGCAACAAAGAATACTGAAGTAAATTATACTCATGATGAATTTGGTAAATATGAAGGAAATGCACAAGAGCATTTATAGAATGAGAGTCTTACAATCAATTGCAAAAATCAACTCGAAGATAATGCTATTTCTTCTCAGTTTGATTCTTGTACTAAAGTGAGTGAAGATTCTTTTACAATTGCAGTTGCTTTGAAATCTAAAGAGCAATGTCTTCTAAGTGAAAATTCAAAGCTAATAACTTTTGATATGCCTGTAAGAAAAGGTGAAAATCATGACATGGATGAAAAGGTGGAACATTTACAAGTCAATGAGGGTGAAAAGGAGCTTGATAAGGCTATTAAAGAAACTAAATTTTTATATCCAATATTGACTAAAAAGGTGGTGAGTTTTGTAAAGGAGAAAAACAATTCCAGAATAAGTGTTTGAGGTAGAATTTCAAGGATTCTACCGCATATGAGATACCAAACAATTTCCCTCATATGCGAGATAAACACCTGGAAGTTAAAATTTTCAATGTGGGAGAAGATATGATGGTGTTTTTGCATAAAGAGATATTTTCCAGTTGGTACTTACAGTAAATTGAAGTCAGATGAAACTATTTATAAAGAAGAGAACTCGGGGTCGAGTTCTTCATAAGTGGAGGAGTCTGATGTAGGAGGATTGTCTTGGAGTATTGAAGAAGATATCGCGCGTCAGAAAACATTTTAATATTTAAATAATATTATTTTTAATATTTCATCGGGTTCTATTTTATTTAATTATGTTTTTGATTAAAGGTCCATTAGTGTTTCTTTATTTTATGTATTTATCTTTTATATAATAAAATTTAATTTTTTCTTTATTATGGTAGATTTCAGTTTATATTTAACGAATTTTGCGCTTACAACTCTATTTTTTTTCTCCTAAGTTTAGCACTCATTATTTTCTAGGACTTTTGACTGCTTCGAAAATTTATAATTTTATATGTCTTTCTGAAAAATTATGCTAACAATTAATCCATGGTCATAACATAAGCAGAAATTTGTGGCAAACATGAGTGCTAGAAAAGATGTTCGATCTCTTAATATGTATCGTATTGACAATACCATTAAGAGTGCTAGCATTGAGAATGCTTTAAAGCGTTTTAGAAAGGAAGAAAAACACCATTGAAGATGAAATCTGGCACAATGAAGGGTACTAGCTACACAAACATAAATTTAGTGGGTTGGCATAAGAATGTTCAGCCAAATAATATAGACGATATTGGAATTTGTTCATCCAAGGATCCCAACACATCTTTTCTTGGAAAACACACCCGGGACATAAAAAGAGGCTGATGAAGATAAACAATACATTGGGAGTAAAGATAGGAAAATACAATATTTATTAATAATAATACCAATACAGTAAAGTACAATATTTATTAATAAAAAAATATCTATATAGCAAAATACATAGACGAAATGTATATATTATGGAAATAATTAAATTGTTACGTTATTTAAAAAAAAAATATTAGAATTAAATGTGATGAAAGTGATATTCACAGTTGAAAATGTGTTGTCGTAATATAAAATAACAAATAAGTTGATATAAGTAAGCCAAAAAATGTGCAAAAAACAATGTTAAAAAATATAAATAAAAAAAGTTGTTAAAACATATAACTTATAAAAAGTAACATTCAATTGAAGTTGTTAATTAATTAAAAGAAAAGTATATTAATAGAAAGTTAAAAAAAATAGAAAAGAAAAATTCTATTAAAATTATAAAAGGAAAATAGTATGTTGGTTTAATAATTTGTTTTGCCATTATTTATATACATATATGAAAGAAAAATTGGGTGATGCACTTTATACTGTCAATATATGTCCTTTAAATTCTAAATGAAATTGTTAAAAAAAATAAATTTAGAAGGAAGAATGTTATAAATAAAGGTTAAATATATTTTTACTCTCTAAAATTTTCAAATTTTATTTTTGATTCCTATAAAAAAAATATGACTTGTTTTAATTCTTATAAAATTATTTTACACGTAGTTTTAGTCTCTGTTATTAAATTGATATGTATTTTTGAATGATTATTTTGTATATATGTTTAGAACGTTATAAAAAATTCTTCGAAAAAAAAGAACTCATAATTCGATTTCAAAGCCAAAATTTTCATTATTTTCATTAATATCTTTTAAAATTTAAGTAATTCATATTCAATTCGTCTCATTTTAAAAAAATTTAAAATCTGATAAAGAAATATTTATAGTATTCTAAATATATATGAAAAAAGTTATTAAAAAATTTAAAAGTTTAAGGGTAATTAAATCGTTTCCAAATTTTAGAAAATAGAAGAGATTAAAACCGCATGAATAAAAATTTTATAAAGACCAAAATATGTTATTTTTTAGTAGGGGCTAAAAATGAAATTTGAGATATTTATAGAGAAAAAACATATTTAACCCTATAAATAATTAACAAATAAGATATAACATCAAATAATAAATAAATGGAAAGTGTGAAATAGAGAAATCTACTTTTAATATAATAAAACTAATACTAATGACTACCATAATCATGTCATTAGCCAACTAAATTCAGATTTAACATAGTTTTACAATAACATATAAGTAATTACAACTATTAATCATTTATTTAATTAAAAATTATTTAAATAATATATTAATTACATTTACAATGCATCACAATCATTTCATCTATGACATTTGCACCTTTTCACGTATGGCATATACCACTTACAATGCATCTATTCAAAATAAAACATTGGCAACATATGTTTTTTCAGAAAACCTACACAACATTCAAGTTGTTCCATCTTTTACACTTCCCCTGCAGTCTGCTCAAAATTTATAAGAGATGGTCCTTCATTTGAATTCCTTCCATCCATTCATCTTTTCTCTAATTCGATTTCATCTACACAAAGCAATATTCATCACTAATCCCATCTTCATCGCTATTTAATATGTTCTGTTTTTTCAATTTTTGATTTTCAATATTTATCCCTAATCTCATGTTCTTCGCCAACATTTTCTCTCTTCATCTACAAAATGCTTCTCCGGAAAGGTTAGTTGATTA